TCCACAGCGTACTCTCTGTATTGTCTTGGGTTCTGGGATCATCAGTGAAATGTTTAGCTGAAAACCAATTTTCTCCAGATTAAATCTTCTCCACCCACCAACAGTTGATCTTTATTTTTAGAGCTTTTCATCAAGGAATCAGCCTGATCCTTTTAGTTCTTGCCTAGATTTAATAACTTAGGTTTTATGTTATAGTTTAGGTGAATATTATCACTCTCTTTAACATGTAACCTAATTAAAGGAGAAAAATATATATATATTTAAAATAGATATATTTTAAAGAGAAAGTAAAAAAAAAAATCCTTCTCCATTTCCAGTGTGCATGTCAACACTTCCCTTAAGCTTCTTAAGGCACTAATGAAAGTGGCCGCTTATTGTCCGGAAGACAGATGGTTTCTGTCTTGATTAAGTTTTAATTTTCCTCTTGGATGGAACTGACAAGCTTGTCTGGTTCTGTCGTGAACAAGCGTCTCTCTCCCGTTGCTTCCTGTCTAAAGGGTAACTACGGTGTGACTCCTGGGACAGGAGCCGATCTGTGAGAGTGCTTCTTTTTTTTTTTTTTTTTTTTCTGGAGCTGACTTTTTCATTCTTTGTTCTGCAGCAGGCCTACACTCCTGTGATTATTTATTTACTTGATTTTATTGTATTTTTTTTCCAACTTCGAGGGATAATGCTTCAAAACTGGAGATTAGTATTTAATACAACCTTGTTTTTCTCCTGATGGTGCTCTTACGCAGACAGACTGATGGGGACTCCTCTGAAGCCTTATCATGCACATAAATAAGACACAAGGCGCAAGTAAGTGGAGAACATTAATTATCATTGCTATTAGAAGCTCGGTATGCCACACACTAATGTACATAGTGTCTTTAAATAGGAAGGTAGGTTTAATAACACTGTAATAGCACCTAATTAGTTTGGTTCAAATTTATCTTTCTGCCAATGCAAAAAGCAGATGTACTATAAAAATCTGTATTTTTATGCAAAACGTAAGTTGTTCATGGAGTGTTCACTCTGTATCATCATTGTTCAGATGCTCTGTGGTACTTAGGATTAAAGTTGCGTCCCAGTTTTTTTTTTTTTTTCTTTTTGCGTGACTCATCAGGACAACCACTTTATTCACAAAGATATACACAGCTGAAAGGAAAATATGACTTAGAAAAGACTTTAGGTCTGGGTCTCGTCTGCTCCAAATATTGCTCCCAGGCGTTTGGCTTGTTTTTTTTGTTTTTCCAAATTAAATTTTTCACATTCTGGTAAGTCAGCTTAATGCGCACCGCTTAGACTCACCTGTGCAATTTGAAAATCACAGCCTGTTCCACAAATTTTGCATGAATCTCCATTTTCCTGTTTAGGTAAGATGAAGATGATCATACTGACACAACAATTACTCTGGGGGTTCATTTTGCTCTGCACAGTAAACCTCAGCATCCAGCAAGTGTCCAGTGGCAACCAAAGCTCTCGAGGACAGAGAGGTAAGCATCAGCCCGGTCAGACCAATACACACCCAGCGGGGCTCATTAGGGCTCCTGGTCAAAGGCCTGATGAATTGGAGCAGAGCTCAGTTAAAGCACAACCATCTTTAGATCCACCACACATGTTTTATGATGCTATAAGTCACAGCGCAGTTGTTGTTTTTCTTTGTTTACAAAGTATGAAATTAGTGATCCTTAACAATTCTCGCAGATGCATCTCAGTTTATAAAAATATCACTGAAGAGTTCAGTAATTGCAGTAATTTGATTCCAAACTGAAACATATATTTTCATTAAGCAGAATGAAATACAGTAAAATCAAACCATTTATTTAACTTATCTTTTTATAATTACAGGACACAGCTTATGGAAACTAAAGCAAAGGTCATCTGACAATTTGAATATCACTTGATATGTAATATGTAATATATAAAACGAGGAATAAAAAATATATAGGTTATAGCTGGGTTATGGCTTTCTCCATCATGGGAGCGAATGCACTTTTACCTTCCAGTCAACTTTCCATTATTAGACTATGGAACACTCCATTAGTAGGACGCTTATCTTGCAGTTAACCCTTTGTGGTTACCCTCTTCTTGAAAGCTGCAAATGAATGGTGGAGATGCCTGCAGTGTTCGCCATGATTGTACAGACCGCAACGACGTGCTTTTAGAATTTAATTGTTTATGTAAATTAGTTTTTTAAACACATTCCTATTTACTGAACTGCATACCTATTTATTAAATTAGAAGCTCTAAGCAGATTTTCAAGGTTTTCTTTTCATAGATCTCTGTATATGAAATTGTTGCTATAAAGTCAGTGGTTTCTGCTCTAGATGTTCAGTCCCCCTGGGGGCTTTTGGAAAATTCTTCAATTCCCTGGAGATGATAAAATAATGGTTTACACATTTTAAATGAAGAGACAGGATTTTGTGTCATGGGGAAAAAGGTTTCCAGGCATTACTTAAAGAAATCAAGCAATGGTTTACATAACTCTTCATTTGCATATGATATGTACTGAGGAGCATCTAGAGACTTAAACTGTCAGATAATGTAGTGGAGTAAAAAGTACATTACTTGTGACAGGAAGATCGGGAAGTACCATCATGAAACAGCATAAAATATGAATGTTCAAGTGAAGTACTTTTGAAATATGTGATAGTAATGAACTAGAATAGTGAAGTAGAGAAAATAAATGTTCTGTCCTTTGTTGTCTCTGAGTTTCTAAACATTTTGCTTATATCTAGTGTGCAATACATTTGGCATATTCTAAGTTTTTGAATTTGACTGTATAAATAAGATCGATGTTGTAAAAAAAAAATATATACTTGGAAATGTTTGTTCTTCTTCAATTTGCTATTTTGCTATTATGTGTTACTCATATATTCCAAAAAGTGTCATTATCTAAAAAACAGAATTTGTACATAACATTTTTGCGAGTTTCACTACATTATTTTCATCAAGTAGTTTGTACTTGACGTATAGTTTCAAGTACTTTTATAGTCTTGTTTGGATAATGTATGGGGTAACTTAAGATACTTGAGTGAAGATACACAACAGTACTGTTACTTTCCCTCTGATTTCTGGTGGTCGGACACGTATCAGGTCATGATTTGGATTGGTGATACTTCTCATTCCACTAGGTGGTGCTGTTGCTCTAAAAACAGTAACAACAAGCGGTATAAGTAATTGTTAAGATGCCTTCTCACTGGGTAATTAAAATGAGATAAAAAGTCATTTATTTTTTCCAGAATTTAACATTGATTAACGCCAGGACACTGCCTATATCTGTGGAGTTTTAAAGGGTCACTGATGAATGTTTGAGTGGCTCACCAAAACCAATAGCTTTAAACAATTATAATAGACTTTTTGTTTACACATTCATCAGACAGAGACCGGGACAAAAAAATCATCAATAAAGCTTAGCATTTTTCTCCAGCTTGTTTTCCACTTTCTTAAATTCCCATTAATAAAAAAAAATTGTAAAACATCAAGGTTAGAACTGCTGGTTACCTTTAGTGACACCACTGTTGAGATAGTGAGTGCAGTGGTCTTGTGCTCCTTCTTGAATCAAACTGATTTTCTTTTTTTTCCTTACTGCATTTCATGGTCAGGGTCATCACAGGAGAGGACGGGGACATGTGAAGTGGTTGCGGCTCATCGCTGCTGCAATAAGAATAAGATTGAAGAGCGCTCTCAAACAGTCAAGTGTTCTTGCTTCCCCGGACAGGTAGCCGGGACAACAAGGGCACTGCCCTCTTGTGTTGAAGGTAATAATACAGAAACCCCCTCTCGCAACTCTCTCAAAAAAATAAATATTTTGCTATGACTGGAACGTGTTGCGTGTCAAAGTCGAGTCACATTCACCAGAAACCGCTGATTCCGAGGCTTTTAAAGTCCAAAGGAGCATGACATCTGATTGGGATGTTTTTTCCCAAACAACTCGTCTTTTTTTTTTTTCTTTGGAAGTTCTTCAATCGAAAAAATGACCCTTTGCCACTCTTCCCCCCCATCTCCTCTAGCCTCCATTGTGCATCAGAAATGGTGGTGTAAAATGGAGCCGTGTCTGCAGGGGGAGGAGTGTCGAGTTCTCCCTGACCTCACTGGTTGGTCATGCATCTCTGGGAACAAAGTGAAGACCACGAAGGTGAGGAGGGGCCCGGCATTAGTCTGAGTCACAGTTGGATTTGTCCATCCATCCAGCTGTTAGCGTTACCTGCTTGATTCCTCAGAAGGTTGCAGGAGGGGTGCTGAGGCATATCCCAGCTGACCGTGGGCAAGAAGTGAGGCACACCTTGAATAGGTTGCCATTCCAACACAGTCATTCTATTCAAGTTTCTTTTTTATAGCAGCGATAGCAATCAAAATTGTCTGAAGACGCTACACAGATGTCTGTGCCTGAGCTCCCTGGAGCGAGCACGAAGGCAAAAGCAAGGGGGAAAAAAAAGAAAACAAAAAAACCTTGCTTTTTAACAGGAGGAAACCTTGAATGCTGCCAAGCTTTTACAGATGGGTCTAGGGGATGGATGAACAGGATCCGTAAAGAAAGCCAGATATCCAAGAAAAAGAGAAGAAAAGGGACTGAAGAAGAGAGCACAGAGAGAGAGAGAAACCAATTTATTCATACAAATGTCACATTGAAGTTAGCCTTACTATTGTATGTATACATGATGCATTCAGATGATGCATCGCATTTACAAGAATGAAAATGGATAAAACGGGGAGAGCCGGCATTCGGAGTATTAATTATAGAACAGCTGAGTGGGCATACAGTGTGCTTATGAGGTTACTGTTGGAAGGATAAACAGAGCAATGAGGCAGATAACTGTGTCAGAGATGACAGTCATTTACATTAGGGGTCTGTATGTGGGCATCCCATATAACAGATCTCATTAGCAGATCGGAAAGAAAGGGAAAAGCTCTCAGCCTTACACAATACAAAGCAACTTCACAGTAAAGCACTGCATGCAGATCTGGTTTCGTGGCGAGCCTAATCTTTTTTGGGGACTTCCTGGTTGACTTGTATACGTCCTAAAACTTTATTCTCCACTGCTGTCCTTTGATTCTGACAGATTCCTCAATCAAGTGTAATAACTGCTCCCATTGGCTGTATCAAACCTCTTGCTCTCGCCATCCTCAGTGCGCTCGGAAAACCTAATTCCATAATCTGGTGAATGATGGGGCCAAGAGGACAAACAGGAAATAAGCTGTGAACTAATTCTGCACACTAAAACCCATGTAATTAAATCTGACGGCCAAAGGAAAACCCCACCGCTTTTAGAAACGAGCTGTCTCTGAAGTTGCCTTTTTGTTGAACTGCTTTTTATACATAATTCATAGCGAGGGGGAAATATTTTACAGTGAAAGTGGGGCAGGTAAGCAATGGAAGCATGCCGAAAAGGATCAATGGCTTCACTGCAGCCACAACACGGTAATATTTAATCAAGGATAAAACAGAATAGGATTCAGGTACATTTTTTTTTTCTTTTTGCTGTAGGAAGGGGGATGACTTCTTTGTGGGGGGATGTAAGATGATCTTTAGTTTTAGAAAAATAAAAACAGAACTCATAAGTCAAAGCATAAAAAATTGAAGCAAACTCGCATTCTACAGCATAATGAAAGAAACTAATTGATGAGAACAATTTGGTCCAATAAGTCGTTTTGATCTACCATACCTGGATGACATGAAAGGGAAACCGAATTTTCAAATCATTAAGGACATATTTCGAGTCATTTTCAACAAATCTTCAGCTAGTGGTTTTGTAAACACTGCTCATCTTATATTTTATAGATTTCTTGGATTAGTGAACGAGTGACACCACGGTAAGCTCATGCAGAGGCGGGCCAAGCAGAGACCTTCCCAACATGTGCCCTGAAAGTGCCTGGTTGTAATCATACTTTTACTTTCACATCAGGCCCACCAGTTCACTGCGAGTTACAATCAGGTCAAACGTAGTTCATGTTGAGGGAGAGCTGTGTGACAACACGCTTTAGTGATTAGGTTTCAATGTTTTTATCAGCTATGTTACTAATTCAGGGACATTAAATACTATTTCAACTTTCAAATAATAATTACTCCTTCAAGTTCTCTCTGCTCTGCAAGTGGCAATGTAATAAAGGGGTTAAAATGTTGTACATCTGCGCGTTCTTATTCCGAATCTTCTTGCATATCTGATTCAAATATGACAAGCCCATTAAGTAACCATTACCTCCAGTGATTGGTCCAAGACCTTTGACCGAGAGTTGCATTTGTTCAAAACCAGTGTATCCTTTCTCTGGTTTCACAGCCCACACAGAGGGAAGCATTTGGGAAATTTAACCAATGCCAAGCTTGCAGAGATCCAGTTTGAATGCCCACAATGAGACAACAAGTGAAAGGTTGGGAGAAAGGTTTTGACTTTGAGCAGAAATTAGAAAGGCCGCAGCAGAGTTCAGGCTGGTAATGCCACAGGCTGTCCATGTCAAACACTTATTCAAAAATAATGCATTTAGTTTTACTTAAAGTTCGTAGCCTGAAATGACCTCTGGTGCATTACTAAATAAACCAACACAAAGTTGAAGCAGTTTCGCTAGATATGCTGTAAAACAAGTTGCAATTCAAGGAGAAGGACTGAGATTAGCTACAAGCTTTAATCGTCAGATGTAAGTATTGTGTGAAAGGCCTGCTCCTTCAGTCAGCTTTAGGCAACAACACCAGCAGCGACCTTTTTATGCTCCTGCGGGAGCTTGCCTGCGTAATCTGGCTCATTTTGTGTTTATCACGGGTTTATCACTGATCAAAAAGAATGAAAACTGGGGCTGCCAAACCCACAGTGGGATGAGGTGGAGGAAGGCACCAATTGCTCATATCTATGAGAGTGATAACACTCTGTAAAGGCCATTTAATAGGCTGATAACAGGCCAGGCAAATGTCTTGTCTTTAGTTCACAGGGGTTGATTCATCGGCCACAAAATAGACTTTTGTAAGCCGTAGCTGTAAGTCGACGATAATACTGGGGTGACATAGCTGTATTCTGACTGTTGCAGAATTTATTCTCTCTTTCACTGTGTCCCTGCTCTCTTTGTAATGGATACTTCTTACTTTAATCAACGCAGTGCAGTAAATTGAGATTTTATCAAAGCTTGTAAATATACTACGTACACAGCCCCCGAATTGTTTTGAAAAATAAAAGTAAAGGGGAAGCAACCTAAACATGGATTCTTCCTACTGGCCACCAGGAGGCTTCAAATTTTTCTTGTGAAACTGCATTTGATGCTTTAGAGTGCCTTGTTGCTTCATGACACACCCAGACCAGCACTGGTTTGATCCGCAGTGCTCGCACAGCACCAGTTTAAGCACTGGTGGCTGTAACGTAGCAAAATATGAAAAAAGCAAAGTGTTGTGAATTCTTTCCAAGTTCATTCACGGTCATTCATAGATTCGGCCGAGAACAGCGACTGTGAAAGCAGCTATGTAGAACGCATTGTCCTGCATGTGTAAAAAGAAACAACTTGGTTATCGGTAGTTTGGCTTCCCAGACCAGCCCTTAGCTTTAAAACTTGTCCTTTTCTCTGGACAAAGACAGAGTTGGTACCAAGACAGAAACTCTTTTATGTAGGACATGTGTCAAACTCGAGGCCCGTGGGCCAAATTCAGCCCACTATTACTATTTAGGGCCACATAAACAGCAGCATTGCCATTTATGTGGCCCTACATAGCAGATAAATAGGGGTTGAATCACCGACCATGAAATAGTGGCAGATGAATTAGAGTCTAGAACCCAGAGGGCCACATCTGTTTATGGGGCCCCATAGATTTTGGAAGACCAGATAAAGAGAACCTTCAAGATGACAGTTGTGCACTTAAATATTATTTTAATCAGTCAAATCAAATGAGCTTTTTTGTACGTGCAAAAGTACATCAACATGAAAAGATGTTTAATAGTGTTTAATTATTAGAAGTATTCATCAAACCCAAAGAAAGCTATAACATTTTAACAGTTTTTTTAATAGGCAGTTTTATTAATACATTCTTCCACAACTGGCAGAATGTTGACATTAATTAAGTTTATGTGGCCTGAAATGAAAATGAATTTGATGTAGGAGATTGGCACAGGATTGATTTTGCTAGGATAAAAACCCTTCTTGACCTGGAACGGCTTAGACAGAAAAATCTCAAAAATGTACATTTCTATTTGATCTGTTTTACCATAGCAGATATTCTCTAGGAGTTTTGTAAGTTATAGCCCTGATTAAAGTGCAATAAATCACTAGTTATGGCTGTAATCTATGAAGATGCTTCAGCAAAGCAATAATAAAAAAAAAAAATGGCATAAAATGTGAGTTAGCTCAATGTGGCAAAATCTGTATCAAACTTTACAAGGGCAGCATTTTTGCAGGAAGCACCACTGTTCAGCTTTTTTTGTTTTTGTTTTACTTCAATATTGAGAGCTTTTCTCACTTTTAGCTAGTCTTATCCGCGACACACGCTTTACCAGCCTTTGGGTAAGTTTATCAGCTGTACTAGCTTATCTCTTGACAGACTTCAGTTTACATACTGTAGTTTAGATGTCAAGCTTTGGAGCTGGAGGTAGAAATCTGTGAATGTCTGACTAAAAATAATAATAATAATTTTAAAAAAAAAGTCAGAATTTCCAACACACTAAGCTTTACTTTGTGTCCAAAAGTACCAATATCGATTTCCCCTTACAAAAAGAAAGAACCACTCACTCTTTGTCTTCTATATCTGTTTTTTAGGTGGCACGGTAGCAAGACAGAAGCTTCTCCTAAGAGTTCAATCCTCACCTGACCTGCTGCTGTCAACTTTTTGCAATATTGGACCCCTCACAGACAAAGCTGGGAAAAACAGATACTTAATTATATATCTCCTGGCTGAGCTCAAAACTGCAGAAACTCATTATTTAATTTTCATTTTTCTTTGAATAGTTTTGTTTTGTGTTAATCCCCTAGAGAGAACAATCCATTAAATTTGACAAGAGATTAAGTGATGTAGTTTTTTTCCAAATCCAAACTGAGAGCTTTAGTTAAAGTCTTTGTTTTCTTGCTTGAAATGCCGGGCACATTGTGATGCGCTCAATCAAGGTTTGGCCTGAGCTGCTGGCAGACCCTTAAAAGAGATTTTGTGGATTTTTTATTTTTTTTTCCAGGTGGCAGAAAGTGAACCCAGTCTGTGGCTCGTGACTCGCTGCCGCTTAAAGCAACAGACCACAAACACTGATAAATTTATGATTACACTGTGTAGCAATTGTAGTCGGGGCTGTCCCTTACTCTTAGCTTCCTAACGAGGTCAGGTCCCTTTAGACTACCGTAAAGAAGCACTCTCACTCCCTACAGAAATGCACACGCATACAAAGGCAGCTTTTCTTTTTTTTTGTTTTCATTTTACCCCGCTGGTCACAGGCCACCACCTGCAAGGCTGTGATGGCATGCACACAAGCATGAAGTCCTAACGCAAAACAAGAACTGTTTGAAATGCTAAATATTAGGAGAAAGGAGAGGAGAAAAGAAGAGAAGAGGAGCTTCTTCGTTGCAGAGAGTCTTTACATCAGGGTTTTTTGTTTGGCTCTCTAAACTGAGAGCTCCCATGGAGGAGACTCTTCGTATAGTAATGATCTGAAGCACCGGTGGTTTTCTGCCTCGGAGCGAGTCGTCGCCTCTAAAAGAGCAGAATGTTTATTACCACTTAATCAGTTGTCCTCTTAATATGCATATTGCACATTTTCCTCCTGGACTCATCCTGACTGACTCTCTTTTATCTCTTGAGCTCAACCAAACGTTTCGCATTTTGTCATTATGAAAAAAAAAATATATACATACATATATATATTTTTTTTAGCACAACTTCAGCAGCTGCACATCAATCCATTTTAGACATCTGGCTTGTGTGAAGACCACATGCTGTTCTGGCTGAAGGTACCTGAATTCAAAGCAGCTTGCTCAACATCACACAGTTATGCATTATACTTGTTTTCCTCGAGACAAAATTCTTCACTGAGCCATCATGGCATTCAGGGATTCATGCAGGGTTTGGTTTGTAAACATTCAAATCATTATTACTATTCAATGTTTACAGGGAACGATGATAAGATAAACAATGTCATTTTAGGTCAACAGCTAAGTATTTCTGCCTACCCTAAGACAGGGATGTGACTGAGAGAAATATGCCTTTGCACTGGAGAGTTTCTGTCAAATGTCCCATAGTAGCTAAACTCGGCTGAAGCTTCAGGCGCTGCTGATGCAGATGGGTTATAATATGTTTGAACTCCTTTAAATAAAGTCACACATTGGTGCTTTGACAAAATGTCCTTCTATGAAGACTGGTAAGTAAGTGAGTGACTAAGAAATAAATATAGTATGGATGTTGTTGCTTGGAGGAGACAACAAAGGACTTCAACTTAATACATTCAGGTGGTAATAATGCAGCAAGGTCCACAAACAGTCCTGCAAAAATATATTTACCCACCTTGTATATTTCTTCTGTTATTGCTTTTTTTTTTGTAATTCAGGTAGTGGTTAAGGTTGCTCAGAGTGTAAGTGTTAGTAATTCATGAGGCTTTTTTTTTTTACTCTGAGGGGTGACAAGGATGTCACACAGAAACCCTTTCCTCACAGCTAATCTTTAAAACAGGGGAAACAAAACAAACGTGCCATTCAGGTAAGGCAAATTTATGTAATACCTTATAAGATTTATTAATATGTAAGGCTAAGGCAACAATTAAGAGCTGTAACAAATAAGGCTAGACGAGGTCTTATGTTTTTGTTTCTGAGAAAACTACAATCAAGAGTGAGTTCCCACTTTGCTGCAGTTCTCATTCTTCATACATTTAGGTATTTATCTCCTCATCGAAGCTAAGCCACTGTCTCCATCAGAACAGGCTGTTTCATAAAACCAGACTTGGAAATATATTTTTGTCAGAGATATGGCACAGATATATCAAAAAGTCCTTCAGACCTAGTGTTTGTTACAGTGGAGGATTTATAATCCGCTGAGCTTGCTTCTCTTTCAAAGGCTCTTGCAGCCTTGTCAGAGTTCATAGCAAACCTGAAAATTATGAATAAACTGTCCAAATTATTAACAGCCGAAGTACCAATAGATGTGTTAGACATAATTTCACGAGGCATATGAACAATTTTCTTTTTCTACTCAGATTTTCCAATTGTGGGTATCGCAAGTAAATAAAGTGCTGCAGTGGTCTTCCTTTAGCTCCAACAGACCAGGCGATGCCTTTTACCCAATCATATTCATTGAACTATTTTCCATGTCGGATGAACATTCCTCTGAAATGCAAAGCTAATTGGACCTAAAGATCCACTGATTCCACTTGTGTTTTTAAAGGTTGACCAGATTTTGCCAACTGAACTCTGGAAACGACAGGAACTCGTCGAGCTTAAAAACTTTACAGGATCTAAATATGAGATTAGATTCTGTAAATGTTTTTTTTTTTTATCAGAGGAATATTTCCACAATTTCTTTTGTGTTTACTTTTGGACATATTTTTTTTTAAATATTTTTTTATTCTTGTATGTACATATGTATTAGACTGTCATGTCTGTTCTTAGAATAATATGTTGTTACTTTTATTGAGTTATATGTTGTTTGTGTGAATATGTTCTTATTATCAAGAGCTCCCTTTGAGCAATAAAAGCTTGGAGTGTTAAAATAATATTTTTCACCCAGAAGGGATTATGTCAGTGGTGACATCACACGTCCTCAGATTTGTGTTTCTCTCCCCAAAATACCAAGAGCGTTCACACACTTTGTCATTTTTAAAAGGAGTTGTGTGACATTCATTAGGCGTTTTATTTTTTTTTTTTTTAGATATGTTTGTGATCCAAACACTCTCATGCAGGGTCTCACAAAAAGTTTAGGGAAGTTGCAGTGTTTTGATTACCTTTTATCTGTGATATAACCCTAAAGTCTCACAGAGTTTTATATCTGCGCTTCTTTACAAATTAGGTAGAAACCCTGTGAGCACCTGTCAGGATCCTTTGGTTTAAAAATTACATCCCATAATGTGAAGATGACAGCAGCCAAAACAAGGTAATTAAGTTTATAGGCATTATAAAACCTACACTGTTGGCTGGAACATGGGAGAGCGCTATAAGATGAGGTTCGAATACTGACAATAATAGACCACATTATATTTGCAATGATAGCTGAAGAAAAAGGGATTAAACATCCACAAAAGGAGATGGAAATAATTATTGGCCATTTGAGAGTTATGAGTCACTTCATTTTCATAATACAAACAAGATCCACGAGTAATTTCTATCAGCCCATTTGAGATGAGTTTCTGGATGATATGTGGGATGGCGTCTGCGGTCTCTGAAGTATCCTGTGGCAAATTAAAAACATATAGTTTATTGTGGATTATCCACAGCAGTGAATGCAGTTCAGCTTACAGGATTTATCTGGTAGCTCGGCCATTATGAACAGACGCATCAATGAAAACTTCTGTGTAGGAGGGAAAGACTAACTGTGATGCAAATTTTGTACATATTTGCATGTTGAATTCTTCTCTATGTTTTACTATTACATAGGAAATGGATTTATATCTATATAAAAAAAAAAAAAAACTAAATGTGATTTTATTTAAATACATCACTGCAAGATGAAAGTTACTTCCTTTCAGGCTTTTTGCATTCACACAAACATTGCTCAATTGATTTCTCATACCAAATGTAGGATTGAAATTCACTTTTTAAGTGCATTGTACAACTTTACTGCATTTAGCAGTTTTGAGAGCTGCCATAAATCTTTGCTGTGCTACAATTTAACTCTTCAGCCTGGAAAACTGACTGTTGAGGGGAAAAAAGGCGTATCTGAAGCGGAAATGTCGACTTATTTATTTCATGAGGAATGTTTAAGTTGATATTTTCACCTCAGAAGTTTGCAGGTGACTTTAAGTCTTGGTTAAAGTAATGATAACTCTGATCCTTTACAGTTCATGTGAGGGGGAGACTTGAATCTCAATACACACATTTAATCAAGTACTGAAAGATATAAACTTTAAGCAGTTGACATGGAAAAACAAGATAGAATTACCCTAATGAGCTTTTGCTGCTGCACTAATTTGGACACACACAGTGAGAGAAAACTGCCATGGTGTTTGTGATTTTGTGTGTGGTTTTGTTAAAATCACATTGGCTTAAGGTTATTGCTTATGTTTCATTATCTACACTCATATTTGTGTGTGTGTGTGTGTTACGTGTGTGTTCTCGGGCTTGCTGCAGTTAGTCTTACATTCTGCTCTTTTCCTCCCACCTGGTCCTGGTTTGCTGTTCACACCACCTGCACCGTGTCGGTTGTCTGCCTCCATCAGTATAAATGCTTCTTTGTTCTCTCTCAGATTCTCATTTTTTTGTTGTTTCTGGTTTTTTCTTGGTGTAACTGGGTTTTAGCTAAAGCTATACTCTAAAGCTTTGTAGATGAAATTTTAGTTTAAATCTGCCTCTTAACCAGCAATTATGTTCCCTATATATACAATTTACAACTACAGTTTATCAGTAATGTAAAAAAAAAAAAAAAAGAAAAAAAAAATCCAAGATGTAGATTTTTTTTCAATATCTTGAATCATGGAAGTTTAACCTAC